AGCAGCAGCAGCAGCACTAGCTATAGTATCAGATGTGTCGATGCGGTAGAATTCCGGGGATGAATCGTCTGATTGGATGCTTCAGTGGATTTGCTGCGGTAGTTGTCATGGAGCTTTTGCTTTGAATCAATTCAATGCAGGCAACAACAGCAAAAAAAAAAACAACAACAACAACGCAGGGAAACAGACCGACTTGATGCGAATAAGGCATATGTGTACGTCAACTGCACACGCCGGTTCTAGAATTTTCGGATTTTTTTCATTTTGGTATTTTACGATTTTGATATTGTTTTGTTCGTTCGTTGGTTCGTTCATTGCATTTGCAACGGCTTAGCTCAGCTCAGCTCAAAAATACACGTTCACACATACACACGTAGGTTTGCTCTCATTCGTTGAACAGATTATAAAGGCAGACAGCGACGCATCATCATCGGCCACATCAACTTTTTGTTTTGTGTTGTTTGGCTCATATTGTGTCTTTGTTCAAATTGAATCTTTGTTGGTGGGAATACATCAATTTAATGTAGTTTTCTTCATGTTCTTTCATTGTATTTGTCGTTCTCGTTCGGTTTCGACGCTCAATCTCGATATGTGTGTGTGTGTTTTGTGTTTTGTGGCTTGCCGTCGCATTCGCGTGAGACAATTTTCCACAAAAGGTACAGAAATCGAATTCGATAGTCACTTGCACGCATATATATGCACACATAACCCAAAGTGATATCCAATTCATTTCTACACACAACGTGCTATAAACCATTTCGGCATCACTTTTTCATGTCGTATACATATAGTATATCCGTATATTTTTGCCATTTTGGAGCCAAGGCGAGAGCAATGAACTCGATTGTAAAGCGCATTGGCCCTCCCGAAAGCGATGTGTACTAACTCGCTTTGGATTTCTCATTGTTCCGTTTTTCGAAATCGGCAATCGAGTGAGTGAGTGAGTGCAGCGAACCACACTGAAAATTCGTTTCCAGAACACTCTCTTTCTCTCACACTCTTAATCGCTCTCTGCTCATCTCTTTTCTGGTCCGCTTTTACTTTGACTCACGGTGAAACTTCAAAAAGCAATTAAGCGAATATTGAACCATTTTCAAAGGGACACGACAACCGTTTGATTCCATTTCGGTATTTTTCAATTAAAAACACATTGCATATTGTGTATGTGTTTGATATGACAGCAGCATCCTTACATTTATATTCATTAAAATCGATTTATTCATAAAGCTAACCGATGGCCGCGACCATAAACCAAAATTTTAAAATCAATCGATTTGTGAACAACGTTTGGTTCACGATTGAACAGTTATTTATTGGCACTCGATCATCTCTGAAAGGAAACCAACAATGGTTGGGTCTTTTCTCGGTTAATGCTTTGTGGGCTGGATTGAATATATGGTGCTTTTGATGCGTGGCATAATGAATTCATACACACATGATCTTTTTTTTGCATATTGGTTAAGCATACAGAGCGTATTGAAAGCTAAAAGAAAAATTAATTGATCCTGGCACAATGTGCAATTCGGCCGCCAGATGTAAACTCAAATGCAATTTAAAACTCAACGCTTGCACGCCACCTTTTTTCGCCATTGTTGTTGTTGTTGTCGTTGTTGTCGTTGTTATTATTGAAATCGTTCGACAGATTTTCATGGCACTGATTCAATTCCGTTTCGAAAACTTTCTTCTTCCGATATATATAAAAGCAAAGTGAGTGTGACGAATGAAGCATAAGGTGAACACCATCCATCTATTATCGACAAAACTGCATTATAATAACAATCGTATCAAGTTCAAATTCAAGCATGATCAAATTGCATTCATGTCACTCAACTATAAAATGCACAATGACATAAATTATGGAGAGCAGAAAAAACAGAGAGACAGAATTTGGTTCATTCGAGAACTGGGACAAAGTCAATAGGCGTACTGAATGAAGAAATACGAATAATGGGCCTAATTTTGTGATCTTGTTTTTTTTCTTTTTTCAGCTCATTCACAGAATATATATGGCTTTTTCCGGGGTCTTTGTATGTTACTGTTTCTTCGCATATACGCAAAAAAAAACTGCAGCGTTCGCATCTCTCGACGTCACAAGATAAAAAAAGGGAATATCACCATGTTGATGATGATGAAAACACCCGTGTTTTCATTGGCACACTTGAAAGAGTTTTGTATACAAAATATGTGTGATACACATCGCCGTCCCGTCTATGTGAAGCGCTGCTATCATCGATTGACTACGTATATGCGAAAAACTAAATGAATGTGGCGCATTTTTTGCTCTCTCTCTCTCATTCATTTGTGTTGCATCAAAATCACAGCAGAGAGCACACACTCTTGATGTTCTTTGCTTTGCCACCGTAGAGATTTATGTGCTTATGAGAGGACGTTTTTTTCCTCTTTTTCATAATTTACATATCACCTCGTTCAGATTTCCATTTCAACACTCGTTTTCATTTGGATTGTCTCTTGCCGGCGTCGCCGTTAATGCCCCCACCACCCCACTGCAACTACCACCGTCGTCGACAACATCGTAGCCGCCGACGGTGCAGCTGATGGTTGGTGCACTCCTTCATTGTGATAAGCAAGTGGTGAATAATTGCACTTTCATTATGACGTACCATTGCCAGAGACCTTCAAGCGAGATGAATGCGGGCAGGATAAAACGCTCCTTTTTGTCATTTGTCTCTTTCTCTCACTCTCTATTTTTTTTATCAATGACTTTTGCACTGTCAACTTGTCAACATTCCAGACAGTAGCATGAAAGTGAATGAAGGAACAAAAAATCACCGAAAAAGAAGAAAAATTTATCGAAGAAGAAGTGAAAATCTCCAAAAACAACCAAAAAAATCGGCGAAAAACTTTTTCGCTTGATGATGCGAAGGTGTGAGAATTGTGTTCGGGGCAGAGGTCAAAGGTGAGTCATTGAACAGTTTTGAAGACTTAATTTTCGAACAAAGGGATTTTCAGTAAGCTTTAGTTATCATTAAATTATCTCACGCATTAATATTTTGATCGGATAAAATGGCAATATTTGATGTACTTAATGGATGTGAAACGTTCACATCCACCACTTCAATGACGTTCACTCCATCTCACTCGATCTCGCATGCATTTTCATTCCGTTTTACAATCCACAGAGAAATTGCTCGTTGGCTCGCATATAAAATGCCGCATCAATAAGCTGCAGCAACAATAATAACCAGCGGAAAAATTACTGCATTACACGCCGTGGTGAGAGAGATAAAATGGGTGCAAGCGAGAGAGAGAGAGAGAGAGAGAGAGAGAGAGAGAGAGAGAGAGGCAGACAGAGGGAGAGAATGAGAGCGAGCGAAAAAAAAAATATTCGCATAGAGAGAAAGAGTCAAAGCAACAACAGTCACAAAATAAAACGACCAGAGCAAAAACGATAATATTTAATAATAACAGAACACAAGAACATTCATGTTAAAGGCGTGGTTTTCGTTCGCCAGGGCCATAGACATAGACAAGCAGCAGCAGCAGCAGCAGCACAAAATGAGAGATCGAAAGAGCAAGGGAGAAAGAGCGAGAGAATGGGAGCATAAAAGCACACATGCAAACGGGCCTCATACCAATCCGAAATATTACATCGCGTCGGGTGCATTGACGATGAATTTTCCCAACAAAAGCCAGACAGATCTTTCTCTCTTTACGCACATAAAAATTCAGCCAGAGAAGAGAAAAAATAAACAGAACACCAAAACCCAAATAGAATGAACAAACGAGCGGAGGAACGAACAAACGTACGAAACCGAACGAACGGAACGAAAATGATTTTCTCTAGTATAAAACTGCGAAAATGTTCTAGGGTCTCCGAAAGCGACTTTCGACGTGGGCATATAAAACGAAGATACTGAACTGTGAGCGCAACATATACACCAACACACAATTAAATACATACCGTACATAAGTAGATAATGAAGATGAGCAAACGAACGAATGAAACGAACGAAAAAAAAACAACAACGAATAATATTGGATAGATGAAAAAAGAACGCACCGTAAAATTTGAGTACGTTCCCAATTGATATGCGAACGATGGAAGAACGGGAATGCTTTGCAGCCAACAAAATGCCAATCAGTTGGTGATGATCGTAGATATGGCATTATAAAAGAGGGAGGCCAACCACAAAGTTGCACTGGCCGCTTTTATATGAGTGATTATGGAACTTTACGCAATTTTTAATAAACTCATATTGACTGATATAATACAAGTGGTTTTGGAAACCTTCTATCACCGTTTGAATTAGCCTAAACTCTATTCTCATCATCATAAAAAAAGTCCATTTTCAACGGCAAATTTAGCCAAATTGCCCATGTTTACACACGGAATCTCATTTTAATTGTACGACCTTTTCCTTTAGAAAAATCGTTTCAGATGATTCATTCGCAGCCCCACATTAACCAATGCCGGAAACTCTGCACACGTTCATTAACCAAATTATGCAGTTAATGTGTATTTACGTGTATGTGTGTGGTCTGCAAATGTCAATCGAATTATTGGGTTTGGTTATTATTTGTTTTTTTCACTTTAAGAGAGTCACACACAGATAGAGAGAGACATACAGGAAAAGCAGGAAAGAGAGTGAGAGAATGGATAAAAAACCATGTTCACATTTATGTGCTTCTAATTGGCGAAAATTACCGTTTGCTCGGACGAATCAGTAAACAACAAACAGTCGCAGAGATGAAAAAAACACACGACGCCCGTGGCTATTTCTCGTTTTTTTTCACACATTTGCATTACATTAAAATTGAAGAAAAAAGAAGAAGAAGAAAAAGGTTCTAGTCCCTTTTTTTATGGTATACACTGCCAAACTGAAACAAAAATGACATGAGTGCAAACGCAAGAAACTCTTTTTGCACTTAAAAGTCATTATATCGTCAATCAAAAGAAAGGTACAGAACGAAAATAAAATTACATACACATATACAGCGATTGGCATCGAGAGAATGATAGTGTTTATGTTTATACTTACTGAAATCGATCAAAAGACGTCCATAGCCTTTCCGCTGGTATGGCGGCAATGTTAAAATGCACGATACATTATAGTTGAGGAATGAATTTTTTTCCTGTAAAAATTAAAAGAAGAGAACAAAAACATAACGAATTTAAAATAAATTTGGAGTAACACACACGCAGAGAATGTATGAATGAAAGAGAGAGAGAGAGAGAGAGAGAGAGAGAGAGAGAGAGAGAGAAAAACATGTGGATTTTTTTCGATGATAAGAATTCGTTTGCATTATGCATGCAAAAGAGCGAATCGATTGATGGTTGTTGTTGCTACGTTGGCTCGGTGCTAATATATGTCGGTTTTAATTTGATCGACGAAGTAATGTGCGGTTGATTTTTTTCGCTCGTTTTTTTCTCGGCAGAGGACGAATCGACGTTTCATCGGTGTCTTTGGGTGCAGCAGCAGCAACAGCAACAACAGCGTACACGTACCCAAAAAAAGACAAAGTGGTAACAGATGGCCACGAAAAATGGTCGTCGTCTTTGACATTAACAATAACAACGAAGATAAACAGCTATATTACCATTTTATCGCAAAAAAATTATCACAACGTGGCACAAGTTCGTCGTTTCTTTTTGTTTTTTTGGGTTCGACCATAAAAAAAAGGTTCAACAAATTATCTGTTGACACTGTTACAATGTAACAACATAACAGCAACAATGTGTTGTACGAGGAACATGATATTTCGATATTGTCACGGTGGACCACGACCAACTGTTTTGTATGTGAATCAAGAGAATTCACAAAGAAGATTAATTGTTTCTACTGAATATTCAATAAATTACCCACCAATTTTTAATTGTCGTGAATTCTTTTTGCAATTTTTTCCTCTCTTGTCTTAATTTAAAATAAAAAATTGTGCCGAAGCACCAAGTGTCCCGTGCGACGCGAAACGTGTGATAATTATGTAATAAAATGCAAGAAGACGAGAGACAGACACAGAGAGGGAGAATGAAAAAAGCAACGGTATTAAAAGGAAATAATAACGTCAATGTATCCAATAAATTAAAATTTATATCTCGTTCGGCTTGTAATTGCACACGTTCGGGCTTGCTAGCAAGACACAAACCGATTACGAAATTAATGTACGTTTCAATTTTTTCAATGCGTTCCTATGAAAATCGTAATCGCATTTAACATAGTTTCATTTGCTGCGTTGCAGATTTTTTTTTACCGCTTGTTGTTACTGCTTCTTTTTACAATGTTCCCATTTAAGTGTTCGATGTAAATTGCAGCGGACACGATTTCAAAGTAAAAAAAAGTACTTAAAATTCGGAACAATATTATCAGTTGAAAATATTGATAATAATAATGTGACTGAATTTGCGAGTCGAAAAAAAGAAAAATTAAACCAAACGAAAAATGTGGATAGATAAACTGAGTCATATGGCGTTGGCATTGTGCTAGCCAATATACTACGAGCCACTATGGTTTTTGGGGTGAATGTTCCGCATTCAAAAAGTTCAATAACCGTTTGTGTGTTGCATGGTATCTATATGTTGTATACAATGAAACCGCAGAGCGTTTTATATGGTCTACGTTTAGAAAATTGGACGACGGGAACGCAGGAGCAATATCGTAGTCGTATGGTCTCGTCTTAGACAACGACATCGAAGAAAGTTTTATTCACGGCAAACTTACGAAAATCTTTACGGTGCAAATTCGTATTATAACATAATAAGATCCTTGATAGCGTACTCAGTGTGAAAAATACACGGCGTACGGTAGTCAAAATATTCGCAACAATTTAACGGTCAAAGGCAATGACGACGACGATAATGATAATGATGAACGAGCAACTAATCATTCAATCTATTTAATTACAGGATTTTCCATTTAATTCGCATGCAATGCAAATTCATTTCAGAGTCAACGTAATTGAGCCATTTGGATGTGAGTTCAGTTTTTGTAGTCGTTTCGGACGAGCAACATGAATTTAGAAGTGCATTTGTTTTAATCGGATTCGACGAAAACAGATGCTGCTCCGATTGGCGCTGCAGCCATCGTTGCTACTACAACTACTCAATATTTTATGCTAATGACTTTATTCGAACACCGTCCTACCTTGCTAAAATACCCAATGGTGTGACAGCCCTCTGAATCGGCCAAAGTCATTACATAAAATAAGAACGGTTCAACATCATAGTACAGGGTTTTGTGATCCAAGAAGAATTTGGCCAGCAAACACAAATGTTGGCAGTACTGTTTTTGTCGTTTTCCGTCCACTTGCCACACGCCCAGCTTCCCTTTTCGATAGATCTGCAAAGTGAATGGTGTGTATGAATAATTTAGCATTTGTTCGCAAACTTCGCTTCATCAATTTAAGAAGATGTTGGAAAATTTGTTCCTTTACCTCATCTCCAGGTGGATGTCGCCAGACACATTTGGCTGCATGTCTCTTCATTGTAATTTCAGATTTTTGATATCTCAAACAAAATTCGCATAAATACAGTTTCGGTAGTCGGGCTGCATCGTCCGGATACGGTGACTGATACCACACCTCCATATTGTGCCGTCCCATCGTTATGAACCTATACATTTTTTATGATACAATTTTAATTGATTTTCCATACGGGTAAAATAAATCTAAGTTTAATTTTACTTTGTTCCTTTTTCGGCTGGCCATTTTAAGAGATCTGTTTCGATTTTCTCGCTTGCAACAGCTTGTGCCTCTTGAAATAATCTCAAATCGTAATCCGTTACGTAACCTCTCAGGATTGGTTCTTTCAGTCGACTTTCGCCATTCTGTTGTTGGTTTTTTATGGCTAGATTTTGGTTGATTCGTATCGGTGATGGTGGATTCGGCACAAAATTCGAACGCAACTCCGAGATTTTCAATTGATACGCTTTTTGCTCAGCGGATGTTACATTTGACATTGGATCAAATAAAATTGTCGCTTTTTTGCGCTCTTCCTCGTGCCTTAAACGCTCGTCACGTCGCTTTTTTGTTTCCTCCAGCGAAACATTGTGATTCAGTGGACAAGCCTCTTGTGTAAAATGCTTCTCAAATTTACCATTCAAATGACCGTTTGAATCACAACCGTCGACGGGACACTTCCTTTCCTCCGCCATCGGTGTACTGCTGGTGGGTGTGGTGTTGGCGGCATTTCCCTTTTTCGGAACGCTTGCATTTAGTTTGGAATTGATTTTGGAATTATTTGCCTTTCCCTTTGTACGTTTCACAGGACTCTTTGAATTCTTTACTTCCGCCTCCGATTCCGATGGATCGGATGCCTTCGACGGATTGAATATAGCTACAATAGTGACACAAATAGAACATCCGATTGAATATTTGTATAAAAATGCGAAAATCAATATTGCCAGTTGTTACCTGTCAAGTGTTTTGATTTACGAGTATTTGATGAACGGGTAACCGGTTTCATGTCGATATCCGACTCCGAATTGCCATGCTCCTTCGATTGATCCGATTTGGATGTTGATGCTGAGTTGCGAGATTGCTTTTTACCCGGCTTTCGACCCACTACTGTCTTTTTCTTCGTGGGCGGCGTCGATTGTGCACTTGACTCAGACTCAGAATCTCTGCAAAAAAAAAGCGTGAAATATTAATATTTTTCGCTATTTTAAAGAGAAAAACACTAACCTCGAAGTGGATGAATCGGTTGAAGAGGCGGATGATGATTCTGAAGATTTGGCCGTTGGTGGCGGTGGCGGCGGCTTTTCGGGTGGTTTATTTTTCGGAGGTCGACCTCTTGGTGCTGGCACTTTTTTCGGCGTTGAAGTCTTTTTCGCTGGTGACTCTTCTTCGCTTTCGGACGAATTGTCGGGCGAGAAAATGCTCTTCTTCTTCGAATTGGCGGGAGATTTTGCATTGGCTTTGTTGGCATTATTCCTATTGGCAGCAGCCTTATTCATTTGTTGATGTTGTTTGACAACGGACGGTGGCGCTTTGCCGCCGGTCGGTGGTGGTGCTGGGGCCGATTTCGATTTAAGCGCTTGTGAGGCGACAGTCTTTTTCTTAATTTCATTTTGTATTCGTTTTGCTTCGGCTTGTTCAGCTTTTGTTGGTGGTGTTTCGTCTTCGCTCGAATAAACCGAAACTTTGCGCGAATTGCTCTTTTGCTGCTGCTGCTGCTGTTGTTGTTGTTGTTGTTGTGATTGTGCTCCTTTTGACGTGGCGCCAGCCGCTTTTGATTTATTTGTCGCGGAATTTGGCGGGCTTTTTTCTTTTTCAATTTTGGCATTTGCATTTTCTCGCACCGTTTCCTTTTTGGCCGGTGTAGCTTGTGATGATTTCGATTCGTTTGGTGTACTGTTTGAAGCTGAACTACGATTTCCTGCCTGTGAACTGGACGACTCTGAATCGGAACTGGATGAATTTGAATCCGAATCACTTGTACTTCCACTCGACGATGACGAACCCGAACTACTGCAACTCGTCCCAGACGTACTCATCGACTAAAAAGACATACAAATAAAATCGTAAATAACATTGCGGATTCGCGCGCCAATCACTTATCAAAAACAATTTGGTTACCGTACCTTTTTCCGTGACGACATTTTTTTACACTGCTTTGCACTCCCAATTTGAAAACATTAAAATCTTACAATGGTAAATCAAACGAGTATTTGTTTAGCCTGTGACACAATGCATTTCAATTCACATAAAATGGGACATTTTCCATTTGAATTTTCGGTTAGCTTACAATGATACGAACACAAAATACAATTCACAAAGTTATCGATAGCAAACAAATGCCATAATTGTTTTCATTTGTTGTCATCTACTCGATGTTTGACATTTGTGCAAACCGTATGCCATCTCTTTCATCACCACATGCCTGTCTCTATCTCACGACCGAGAGACTCTACGTAATGTCATTGCGTACTTAGAGCCATTCGTCCGAAGTACTTTGTATTTGTTTGTGATTGGAATATTGAACATTTTGAATTTTTTCCATTAATTTTCAATTTTTTCCTCAGAATTAAAAGTTTTCTTTTCTACAAAATCCGTGAAAACAAATAAAATGAATTTTTCCACTCATTTCCACAACATTCCAATTGAAATTGGTTGCATTCTGTGCCATTGATACTTAACACTTACGTATAGCTCGTATACGTAATATCATGCTTTGACTGCTGCATATTCCAGAACATTGACACTTTCTGTAGCTGGACTGATGATTAAATAGTTGAATTCGATTTCAGTTCAGTTCGCACATTTTGTAATGATTCAGAAAAAGGCTGGCAAATCGGCAATTTTTTCACGATTTCAAACCGGAGTGAAAATTTTCATCTTTGTTGAGATTATAGGATTTTTGGGCTCCTACGGTGTGTGGATGCGTATGAATAGAGACCAAGGTAATTGTGTGAAATATATGACTAATTCATTGACCATCTGTTCAACGTCGACCATCACAATCGGTTGATGTTTTATGAATCAAGTCGCTGTGTATTCATTGTTTTGCATCTTAGAGTGATCCAATGGCAATGTGATCGGTTTTTCTTCGCAAAACAATTCATTGACCCTTTCATTGATGTTTGTTTAATGGAAAATTTGTGTTTGATTTCAGAGTTCCGCAGATATATCAGTGAGAAATTTCCATCACTTTTGGAAGGATTTTATCGTGTTGGTGAATTATTCGACAAAGAGGCGCTAGCACGTATACGTCAGACAGATTTGGCTGTGTTTGAAGCAAAGAAATCCGAATAAATCCACAACACTAACACAAGCCATCCCAATTAAGCAATTGTATAAATGTCGAATCCGTGGGTCAAATCGCTTATTACCTTCACCCTTTGTACTGGTGTTGGATGGACATTGTATTGCTTATCGCCAGCTGGTGCCGCTGAACGTGAACAAACTCGAGTACAAACCGAAGTACGACGCCAAATGTACCGCAAAGTAAAAGAGCCAGAAAATAAGTGAACCACATTTTGCGCGAGCCAAATGTTTTATTTTGAGGTTATATAACCTTGAACTTTATGAATGACACATTAGTAAATGCAGTAGAACCGAGGAAATAAAGAAGAAGAAAAAGACAAAAGTGATTTAAAGAGCAAACGTAGAAGAAAAGAAGAATTAAAATGGATTTTGTGGTAGAAAGTGAACCGAATGATATGCAAAAATTGAGTCGCGATCGAATCGCCGATCAATTGGAAAAGCGAAACCGTGACCGACAGCAGCAGGTGAACGCCAAGCATGAATTACATAGACAGAATGTTCCGGCAAATGAAAGTCTGGATTATTTTCAAGAGACATTTCGTACGCATGTGACAACCATTGAAGATGGTTTGGCCAATTTGAAACCGAGCACCGATAAAATGCAACTAACAAAAGATATTCACACGATTCACGAAAACATACAAGATTTGCAAAATTATTTAACCGCTTCAACCTTTTTCCTATCCAATTACACAATCAAAGCATGTCAAACGATTTTAAATGATTTAAAGGGGCGAATCGAAGCAACCAAAGATACGCTACTGGCGAAGAAAAAGTTTAATTTCCGGAAAAAAGCCGGCGATGCATCAACATCCGCAAAGAGTGTTACAACAGTCGATGGAACAACGCTAAACAGCAAACAGTCAATGGCATCAAGTGAAATCGTCAAAGCACATCATTTCGAATGGACCGTACAAAATCGACAGCATGAAGAGATTGTGCTCGGTCCCGAAGAAACGAATAATAAGGATATTACAATGTCAACGTTAGATAGTTGTTTATTGCAAATTAATGGCTATCCAAGTTCGTTGCAACTGTCGCATTTAACCAATTGTGTTATTTTGTGTGGTCCGGTGAGCCGTTCGCTGTTCGCCGACAATTGCACCAATTGTAAATTTATCTTTGGCTGTCAACAATTGCGTTTGCACACATCACACCATTGTGATTTGTATATGCATGTCACGTGCCGTGCCATCATCGAGGACTGTAACAACATCAATGTTGCACCGTACAACTATAAATATGCAAATCTTGATGATGATTTTGTTAAGGCCGGCTTAGACATGACCAAAAACAATTGGCAGGATGTGGCCGATTTCAATTGGCTCTCAGCTGACACCCATTCACCCAATTGGCAACACATCGCACCTGAACAACGCATTTCATGCTGGAACGAATACTTGAATGAATTTCGGCAGAAAATTTTATCCACTTAATACACAGATTCTTTAACGTATCGCTAACATCAAAATGCTTATCAACAAAATTTAACTTAGTGAACAATTTTTTATAATAAAACTTTAAATAAATTGCTCGATTACTTAATCACAAAAAAAAACAAGAATTTTTCTACTTTATCACAGCCCTTTCTGTTTCTATCGATTTTCTTTGTTATAAAAATGGTAACGTATCTTTAATGACTCAAATTATTAATCACTGAAATATGCAGAGAAACCCAACTCTATTTACGTTCTTTTTTGGATAATTTACTACTCGATAGCTGCTTTGTTTATCCACAATTTATCAATTTTGGCCTGAGTCAGAACCTTGCCCCCAATTCAATTCTGTAACTCATGACACTTTAAACTTTTGGTTAGTCAGTTGTGAAACATTTCTGAAACAACAAACATCCAACGATTATCAGTTGCATATTTTTCTGGAATATATTTTTTCTGTCCATACAACAATAGCGAATCAACAAAATTTTTACAGTATATTTTAGGTGGACCATTTGAAGCGGTTGAATTTTTTTTCGGAATAACTTCATCTCCAATAAATAAATGTAAGTAGAATTTAAAAAAAAGTTTTTTTTGGTTTTGAAGTGGAATCAATTTATTGAATAGTGAGAATTGGATGTGATCCATAATTTGAATGCAATTAAACTTCCGATATCGAAATTCATATATATATTTGGATTCAATTTTGAACAATTTTATTCCTCAATTTTATTACTCACGGTTTGTTTAAAAGGTGTTAATTAATTTGAAGGCTGAATGAAAGATAGCGATTGCTTTGGAATATTTCCGTCGAAAGAAATTGCAATGAATCAATTTATAATTATAATGTTCAAAAAAAAGGTTTTTTTTTCGCAAAAGCATAAGTTTGAGTTTTTCACTAAAGAATATTTCTGTTTTATTTTTTAGTCTGTATGTTTTAGTTCGAGAATAATCCAGCAATGCGTAATAGTCACAAGTTTTATTCAATCACAAATTCTTTGTTCGCGATTAACATATTTTTAGCTTCAGATTAAGTTTAATCAAGTCAAAAAACCTTTTGTCGTTTGTTTTTCATCAATGAAAAATTTATTTGCTATTCATAAAGAACGATATGATTTATTTTCTCAACATTTTTATGAGATGAATATAAACCTTTTTAAACATAAATAATTTGTTTTTTCTTTGCTATTTCATTTAAGTTTAAGTCAAGAATCATTTTTTTTCTCATTCAAGAAAATGGAAATTCCGATAGTCCACTATAATCAAGAAGATAATGTTTGGTTTCGTACTGATAACATCGATACAATTATCCGATGGTCCGTCTTAGCTCTGCCTTTGATCATTGTGGTCCTTATTATTATGATGGTGCTCATGTGTTATAATCAATGCAGTACTCAAACCAAAACTGTGGTTGGAATCGATCCGCGTCATTTGAATATGAACAATTCTGCATGGCTGCCAAGCCCACAATTAGCCTCCGCGAACACCAAATCTTTGAAATTTGACGATACAATTACGAAAGCAACTAATCTTATGCGAAGTATTGATGCACTGAATTTGTAAGGCAATCTATTCAATTTTCTGATAATTTTTTGATTTTTTCCAGGCCAAAGCATTCCAGTTAAAAACGTTACGGGGATGTTCCATCAGAATGTCTATGGAGACATGAGTCGCAAAAGCATTAGTTCATGTTACAGTTTAGAGGGAGAGCTGCCAGAGAGCCCAATTCAACAATGTGAGTTATTTAATTCAAATGAACGTTATGACGGAGACACTATATTTTTTATTTGATCATTTTGTAGTTGGATACGACCCAATGAATCCATTTCAACCAAACAAGACGTTGAAGAAGCAATACAGCCGATTAAATGAGTTGGTGCACATGACGAAAAACCCAAAAGATCTGGAATGTTAAATTAAATCACTGTATCATGGAGCCTGGAAATCATTGCACATTTCATTTGTATACAATATTCGAGCGAAACATTGCCCCCAATATGCATGATTTTTTAAAATTTCATTGAAAACTCATGTGAACTACACTTATTTTTGATAAAAATTCGAAAAATTAAAATTTAATTTCTTTGAACAATTTTACATGGAAACAATATACTTTATTAAAAATTCGAGTCACCGCTATTTACTATCGGCACAATAGCTTTTTGACATTCAATAAAAAAAATGATTTGTGAAAAATGCGAGGGGCAAAACACTCTCAAATCACTCACAAATTACTCTTTCATACTACTTCTAAATTACGTTCTATCACCTAGCCTATTTAGTAGGTAAATTACAAATTTTACCAAAAGTCATTCATGTATGACGACAATGACATTAAACTAACATATTTTTTCAATGTACCAATATATTACGATGTGACAGCTATACCACAAATTACTTTTATACTAAAAGTAATTTGTCGTTTAAAAATTACTTACATATTATGTTCATTTTCCTACTTTATTAGAAATAACTTTTTAGTCTCGGAAAAATGTGTATGGAATGTTAAGAAACTACTAGTATACTTATAGGCGTGATATATGACATATTTTGACTCATATTTAAATTCGTAATTTATTTTGGATCGCAATAATATCAAGGCTTAAAAATACGCATCATTTATTTACAAAAACAATGCATCGATCGACATCAAAAGCTTACGGACACGTCATATTAAATTACAGAGATCTCATTTAGTATAGTTGCTATTTAATGCTCATACTATTCATATAAACTGTTACAACTGTTGTGTTGTGTTTAAAATTTATAACATCACCAATGTGAACAAACCTGCACCCGGAGCTAAATCTATCGAGATTCATCTTGTCAACAGTATTATCGGTGTTTATTTCATAAAAAAATATCTTTCATTTCGTTATCTTTGAAGAGCTCACTTTTTGTTTGCATTCATTTTGAAGGTCAATTGTATAAATCGCAACGATAGCCGATGTGTTTTAGTGCGTATGGTTTATAATTCGTTTGGAGGTTGGACAAATCGGAAACTCAAAATGAATTTTAAAGTTTATTTTTCCACTATTCTACTCCTTGGCATTATTCTAGACAGTTGCAGTATCAGAGCTACTTGCCAAGCCACCAAAGAAAGTTCTGGGTAAAATTTAAACGAATACAACTTAGCATTCATTGTTTTTTTATACACAAAAGAAGAAAAAAATGAATATAAATAAAATGGATGTTTCTGTATGCGCATTTAGATCCAATACACTAGACACTGCTCCAGATACTACTCTAGACACTACTCTAGACACTACTCCAGGCACTTCTGCTCTAGTTTCTTGCACTAGAAATGAATGTATCAGCGCTTGCAAAAGTGTAGGCTCAACTGGCGGTTATTGCCTCAGTACGAAATTATGCTGGTGCCGTTCTACTAGCCAATGTGACCCAAATGAATGCGATTCAGCCTGCCGTGAGAATGATTTGAATACCGGAATGTGTACCGGAAGTTATCCGGGCGTTTCTTGTCAATGTTTCACAGAATAAAACACTCTAATCTTATTTCTAATTATACAAATATGTAAATAAAAATGGGTGTTCAATGGTGTTTGAAATATTGAACTGATTCTGTGGAAAATAAGCAATTTTTACTGTGGATAAAATAAGAGTGTTTAGTTCCAGCTCACCAAAGGATAACTTGAGCACACTACATATTGCTGCAAAATCTCTTAAAGTGTTCATTTCCATCCGCTTCGATGTTTGCAGCTTGGTTTGCATCTCATTGTGACGTAAAAAATAGTCATCGATGAAACCAGAGAGTTGGAGAGTTGATGATTACCACCCAAATATTTCTGAGCATGCCATGTAATACACTTGATATTTCCACGCAATTCAATTGTGTCTTAATATTTTCTTGGTGATGGACCATCACTGATTGTATCATTTAATCACTAATAAACGAAACGAAAAAACGCATTTTTGTACATTGTTTTTAACATTTATTCAAGATATTACTTATAGCTGACCTGTGAAAATTTTCGCCGAATAGATACACATTGTTGAGCGTTGAATGGTTAAAAATATTTGAATGTTTTGTTTTATACAAATAAGCGATACAAGGAACATAAGCACAATGGTAACGATACGTAAATTGAAGGCATAATTCCTAAAACATCATGTTCCTAATACTAGCATTCGGTTTGCATTGCGTTGAATTTTACAAAAGATTTTTACACATGTTATGTGGGTGCGATTAAAAGTAAAATGTCTACTAAATAAATTCTTCACTTCATTTGTATGTACTTAATTCTTTAGATGGATACTTTACTTAGGACTCATTATAAAATAGTGATTAAAATGGAGAGAAAAAAAATTTAAGCCGTAAAAAAAGTTCCGATGACATAATGCGATCAATTACTTCCGGACCGGTGACTTTGTCTGCCGGTGATCTGTTTATTCAAAATGATTTATTGTGGTTCTTCTATGGGATTTCGTGCGTACGATGGATTTAATTCGGGTTTCATAGAATGTCCCAAATTTTTTGGATGGTTTCGAACGTATTACTTATCGATCACTTGACTATTAAAATAAACATTTGTTTTTATCTTCGATTTGACGAGTTAAAACGAACCAACATCAAGTAGATGGATCTGCCCAACACAACAATAAACTAGAACATAGATATTTAAAATAAAAAAGAAAATCATAAAATAGTGTGAAATTATTTTATGGCTGAATTGCTAAGGTCTGAGATTCGATGCGTTTTCTTTTTCGATTGGTTTTTCCACATGATTTTCTTTGTGATGCTTCCGATGTTTTTGCATTAGGTTTTCTATGGTAAAATTCGTGGATGAGCATTCGATGAGCTTACTCAATCATTTTGAATAAAATCAGCGAAAACACTTGGGCAAAGATGAGCAAAATAGCAACGGTGATGCCTGCACCAGCAATTATTGAAGCGTGTTGACGAATGAATTCAGTGGTAACGTTTCGACATCCATTCACGTGCAGTGTCAATGGTGATGGTGCATCGATGCATGGTTTACGTTGTCCTCCATAGGTCTCTTGACAGCATGATTCTGGGATGCTTCCATACCAATCACGATACGATTCAATGCCACAGCATTTCAAACGGGTTTGTGTTTCATCCCAGGCCAATGTAATTCCACGACGATTTCCGTACAAAGGAAGCGATGAATACATCTCTTGACGCATCGTTTGCACCACCTTCTCTCGGAATACATAGCCCAAAATTGCACCGACTAGCATCACCACAAAGATCAAAAACACAAACACAAAGTACTGCAAAAATGGAGAAAAAATCATTAGAATATGATTTCAACTGTAGAAACAAAGAAGTCGAATATTTTCAAATCATTTAAAAAATGTCAAACAAAGTCCATTTTCGGAAGGAAAAAGAACAAAATACAACTTACGAAGAGCAACAAGCTTTTGACTTCACGAGCAGCTCCATAGCAGCCAAAGAATGAGATGATGCAAACAATTGCTGCAGTGCCAATCAAAACATAAACGGTTCCGGAGAACAGATTTGTTCCGAGCAAATCATTCATAAAACTGCGATCGGCCAATGTCCATATGCCCAGTCCCAACAGCACAGATGCGCCAATCTGGAAAGAAAAAAACATTTGAAAAACGGTAAAATTAGCGTTTTTTCGAGAAAAAAAAATTCTAAATCACAAGTCAAGAAAAATGTTGAACAATTGAAAATTAAATTCAAGTTCATTCAAGAAAAAAAGCCCATTGTGCATCGAACCACAAAACTACGTTTGAAATTATTACAATACTTACGAAAATCACAAAATTGGCTGCAAACAGGCAATATTTCGCGCAAAGGCCACAACCGTTGACATCACCACCCATTCCCATTTTGTTCTGTAGATAAATGATAATCAACACATTAATTCAATTGGAAAAAATCGTCACAAACAAAAGAGCCTAGAATTATTAAATCTGATTGAAATTCGCAAAAATTACTATTGTGTAATGGGTCTGATTGTCTTCGTTAGGTTGTTCGAATAGATGCTTCAACATTGGATCGAGAATGCAAAATGACTGATTTGATTTTGTTTCGCTGTTGTTTTACTTGTTTAATTTGTTTGTGCCCACCACAGCGCAACCGCGTCATTTTTACAGCGGCTATTAATTTTATTTACACCTCTCTTTTAATGCTACAGGATTTGTTCGTTGATTCTTGCTCACAATCCCAACACACACTACATACACACACTGTTTGCAATAAGAATGACGAGCAAAAAAAAACATTTAAACTGAACGTTGTCAATTTTGTAAAGCCGAATAGAATTGATGTGTGTATTCTGCGGGGATTAGTTATGTTGTCAATACGACGAAACAATCGCATTTATTATTTGTCGGCTCCGATGTGACCAATTCGTTGGCTACGATAATGCGTACTTTGTATTGATCTTGTCGAGTATTATTTGCACATAAATTGGCATGGGTTAACAAAGCCACGTCTTTTTTCCTTCGCTCAGTCTTCGACACTTTTATGCTCGAAGTACTTCGAAGAATAGATACGGCATGTACACTAAGCCTATTCAATATATAAACCAACGAATTCAATTGATTTTGATTGCCGTTTTTACTATGGATCCGGGCATTTTTTTTCCGTTCTCACTCATTTCTTAATTTTCTCGATTTCCTTCTGACGCACCATCCATTCCGGTTTCAATCATTTCAATTTACACTTCTTTCGACGCGAATATAATGGGGATATTCATCGCAATTTCGCAAATGTCCATGTGCTTTTATTTTGAATGCTAATTAGGAGGACAATAAACGTGTATTATACTTTTGCGGTTGAAAAATAAAAAATCGTAAATATTTGCCACTAAATTAAACGGTTGAAGAGGAAGGAAAAATCAAAATATACTGCTCGTTTATTGTTGTCTCAAGACACGCTGTGTGTGTGTGTATGCAAAATGATTTTTCTACCTTGTTATTGTCATTCCGGCCAGTTATTGTTATTTTCGCACTGAACTCAAATTAATTTAACCTCTGACGCATAATGTGTCATTCGTCATTTTAATAGATCTTGTCAGGATGTTTTGGTTTCACTGTGATGGACAAACTGGATTAGGTCAAACGGAGAAAATATCAAGGAATCACGTTTTGCGCTACCACGCCCCAGTCACAACACAAAATGTAGAACTTCATTAAAATTTAAATGAGAGTTTGCGATTTTGCAAATGAGAAATTGAATTGAATTGTCATGCAGATGTTGAACGGCAAACGAAATAAAATGCATCATAAAATGACGTGAGACAGTGTCTCTCCCACTGAGATACATCATCTGCACGTCTTTGTTTCAGTTACTATTGATTTTAAAGTCGAACAAAGTGAATAACTGTGAGAAAGAACAGAAAGGGCAAAAAATCAACTTCAATTGAAAAACGAAAGACTTGATTTATTGCATCCACCGAATAGAGACAGTAAAATGATCACCGAGTATGTGACGATGTGATTAAGAAAAAGAATTAACCTTGAACACATTTTTATGGATGCGCGAGAATAAGTCGCCGAATGAATTGAGTATTTATCTTATATTTCGAAATACAGTTTTCCTTATCTAACGACTAACGATACTTGTTTATGTTAAGCTCACGATATGTGTATTTGAATATCGCTTGATCAATAACAATAACATGATTGATTTGTGCCACTTAAATTGTTGACAAAATATTTTTAAACAGATGTGATCATCAGCAGAGAGACTAGATTGAGACGAAGTAGACTTCTAAATGGAGTTCACACAGTCTGAACATCGTTGTCTAAGATCGATTTATGTCATTTTTCTCCAGTCAACGATTGAGACATAACTATGGTCGCGTCGAAGATGAAAATCGACAATTGTCTGGATGGTTAGGTTTCTTCAAATTGATTGAGCAAATACGATTTACGCAGCGACAAAAGGCGATTTATTCGAGTGGTTTTAGCCGCAACATGCTAAAAACCGAGTGTTTGTCATCGACGCGCCCGCGCGCACGCGGCTCACTTTATAAACGACACAGGTGACAAAGTGACTACGCAACTTTGTGTTCGCCTCGAATTACTGTATGCAAACGAATTTGGTAAACAACGGAAATGACACCCTAAAAGGCAACTGGAACATTCTCAGCACGAAACTCGTTGAAATAAGCGATCAATTCGTTTGATACGTTTTTTTTCCCTGGGTGTGTTTAACGTATCGACGATTTCAACGCATCAAAAAATATCTTTAAAACATTCTAAGTAAAGAAAAAAAAATGCCGCAAAATCATATCGTATATAGTTTCCAGCAGCGATCTAAAATACAGCGAAGCTCCTCCATTCAATTACATAAACAGTGACAATGAAGACATGTTTACGCAATGGCTTTACGCGCAATACGTATACGAATGCTATATATTCGAAACGCCAATTTCACAAGCAAATTCAAATAATTTTGTTCGTTAACAACTAGCATTCCATCAGCCAGCCCAACGTTTGCGTATTTGCTGAGTGCGGAGAAAGATTTGTTGTGTTTTTTTTTGCTGGTATTTTTCCATTTTAAATGTTCGTTCGCGAGAAGAAGAAACGTGTTTTTTTAAGTGAATCAATTGCAATTTTATGCGGAATTTCTCAACGAACAAGTAAGCACCTTTTGTTTCGTTCGCAAATGAAGACATTTTTAATGTGTAAATGCATTAACCGACTCGATCTATCTGATCTGCGTGATCTGCCTGCTACATGAGCAATTTTGGAGTGTGATTTCATTTTTTGCATTGTGCGAACCACACATCGATGCACATGTACAGCGTTCTATGTTGACTACCTGATCGCTGAGGTACGTGAGACGCATATATTAAAATCATGAAATTGTTTTTGAACAATATTTTTTTATTATTATTAGCCATTTTTCCTCGTTTCAGACGTTCAATACAATAGATGAACGAATTATGTCATGCGAGTGCATGAACGAAAATCGTTTCACTATTCATTTGCCGTCTTCGTCTTTCCCACTTTCGTTATGCTCAGACATGCTTTTCAAGGTCAAACATTTGCGCTTTTTTATTACGTGAATTTATAATGTACAACTGTAAGCACACTGGCTCTCACATTCGATCGTACGGTATGCGTACATGTGTGTGTGTGTGTGCGTGTGTGATGTAACAAATCATTAAATGGGTCATCCAATTGGTGTGTACGAAGATTTTTGTTTTCGCTTTTTTGTTCAATTCGTAAACAAAACGCATTTATTTACATTGGAAGTTCGCTTTGTCATTTTCATTAGAAAATTGATTTGCGACCGCAAAAATGGACACGTACATACGAGATGTAGCCGTACATAACACGAATGGAATTGAATTTAAAAAAAATAATAAAGATGTAGAAAAAAATGATATTTTTGTAAACATTAATCTGTGTACAAAACAAAGAGTTATTTTCTCGGTCTATCGATTTTGTTGTGGGATTTTTGGGTGGTTTTACTCTCCATCTCTCTCTCCCTCCCTTTTTCCCCTACTTACTTGGATAAGGCTCTGTTATGCTCTCAACTTGAAAGCATTAAATGCTCGCACCAGAACCAAACTCTTGCTACTCTTTTTTTTCGAATGAAAACCGATTGACTAAGGCCAAGAATGTAAATAGAATATGCTATTTTGTTATTGCCTTGAACGACCGGTTTTTTTTTGTCGATCAACAAAACATTTCAGAAACAATTAATCGAAAAACTGTTTTGAACAAAAGTAAATTGTTGTAATAGTTCATTACGTACAATTTAAGTTCAAGTTTATCATTCGACTGGCGGCAGCGGCAGCTAACACGCAACATATAGTAAGGCACTCTGTTTATTGAACAGAAAATTTATACAGCGGAGTAAGACTATATTTTTTAAAAACAAAATAAAATTCGATTTAATCGTAACAACAAGTGAATCAAAACCGTAAGCCATGCTCCAATTTGCGTGTAAGTCGAATGATAATATTGTGCGTATTTTGCTAGAATGACACGTTGTATGCAAAGGCATATCATTCATCACTCCCACTCCCTGCGACGTCGTCGTCGTCAACGAATATTCTCAACCTTACAATATGTGTTCATGTGTCACTTTATCTTGGGAAGACCATGAATTAGAATGAAATCGTGACGGTTGATTTGGTCAGTTGGAAAGTGAATATGATATGTTAAACGAAAAATGGAAATGATATATAATTTTCAGATCAGCAATCGGGCAGAGACCGATTGTGTTTTCGTTACAACAAAAACCGATCGCGTTTCAACTGTCAATGCCGTGCGAATTTGTGTTCATTAGTGAGAGTTGCAGTTCACAACTTAATTGAATTGAGTTAAACTTGATCCAATTTGAAACGATCGACTGAAAAAATAGGAATGAATTCATACTAATTGCTGGTGTATTCTCTCGATTGTTTTCAACTTAGCAATGGCACGCGAAACAAGGAACTCTTTTTTTTCATTCCGGTTTGTCATGCGAATACACAAGCCCGTTTTTCCAGTGGAATATTATCAATGCAAGGTTGGCCAAAAATAATATAATAAACTCAAAAATAATAACGTTGAATAAAATTATATAATAAACTCTTCGGTAGAGCTAACACAGAGCTTTACCATCTGCGAGTAACCTCAATTTAAGAGACATCAAAGCGAAGAAAAAACCCTCAACAAATACAATTATTTAATGCTAACTAAAAAATCACATCTCTCAACAACTCGAAATATTTCGCAATTGTTTCGCCGTTTTTTAATGATGCATTAAAATGGTTTTATTTGGATACAGGGCTGAGAGACACGGTGACAATATATAATTTGCACTTGAAATCAGTGCTCAGATTTCTTGGAACATCACAAACTGAATCTGATTCATTCATTACTTAAGTGAATCAGCTTTTAAATATGATTTGCTTAATTATATACTATATTGTGTGTCTAAATGGTGTGCGGCGCACATAGAATGTGATTCAGTGAATGTGCAATTTTAAAAGAGATTAATTGCTTCTAAAGCGAATGGAAGGACGTCCCATTGCTGGCTATAAAAATGTGCTTAAATCACATCGTGTTTTGTGATTAATCTACTTCAACGGAAGGAGTAGTATGTTCCTTTTTTCTTAACGAGTGAGAAGAATGAGCCAAAAAGATACTCGAGAATTGTTGTAGAACAACAAAAATCTGGTTTTCTCATCACAATCGATATAAATCGATGGAACGAAGCCCGATGATGGCATTAACATTAAGATTTTAAAAAAACAAATCCAGTTTTTTGTTCTTAGTTATTATTTGATTTGGAGAGTATGTGATGCCAGTGAACTGGGACCCATCTATAGATCCATCTCTATAGAATTGTTAATATAACTTATTCTTTTGGATGATTATCTACTTAATACGTCAGCCGTCTCGTGTGCACTAACAATAATCCAGATATTATCGAAAGAGAAATGGCCACGAACCGAATGGTTCGCTCATCATTTGAAATACAAATGAAATGAAATCATTGTAAATCAAGTGCGACAAAAAAAATGAATCAACAAGCCGGGAATATATTTCGCATGCGTTGACTTATTTCTGTATACAAATGGGGAAAGGTAAGAGGTCAAAGACCGGGTTGTCGCCTCATGAAAATATACAAGTAGTGTATAACAAGTTCATGTACAAATGGTTTAGGGTGACAATAAAAATGATTGGGTTTCATGCTATTCTAATCAATCATATCGATCTCTAATGGGCAAATGAGCCCAGAAAATTACCATTGATTGAATTTAATGTATTTTCTTTCTGTTGGTTTAAACGCATATTTTTGTTATTATTAAATCGATTTTATGGCTTAATTATTTCCACTGAATTTGATTACGACAAAATGCGCACCAAACCAGGTATGTGCATGTGGCATGGGATTCCCTATAAGTCTCTCCACTTCGCACTTCGTCGTTGAACAATGAACACCCTCGACAGCTATTAAACCATAATTCCATTCACGTTCGTATACATCCGATAAAATCCTGCACAAATAATAACATTTTGTGTTATTTTTAGTCGGTTTCGGGCGGTGGCCACGGCTAGGGGGTGGACATGATTAGTAAATTAGAATCTAATACAGTAAATTAGAGAATATTAGAAAATATTAGAAACTGAAATGTTTGATGACTTTGACATGGCAAATGCTATGCCAATATAATTCTTTATGAACATTTTTGTTTTGTTTGATGAAACAAAACGGTTAACAATACCGTTATTTGTCAACAAGTCTGCCAATTTCAACGCATTAGTATGTAAAATGTCGCCATTTAGTTTTACATTGCCGATGCATTTCCTTATGGAAAATTTTGTTTTGTTTATTTTTTGTTGTTTGTAAACAAATCTGCCCATCCTTTAGCATTGCCTCTGTATATTTCGTATGGACCATATACTAAGTACAGAGACTATGCTAAAAGATAGGCAGATTTGTTTACAAACAACAAAAAATAAACAAAAAATAATCTCCATAAGGGAATGCATTGGCAATGTAAAACTAAATGGCGAACATTTTACGAGAATATTAGAAGATATTAGCACTTTCAATCGATTATTAGAAATATTAGAGACAACTAAATGAAACTTGGGATATATTTCCAAAAATAAGACAGATTAGTGATATTAGACCAATATTAGAATCCGTGTCTACCCCCTAGGGCCACGGTGACTTCATGAAAATCAAACACCAGCAGGACAAAACTAAAGCAATAACAATCATTAATTAAACATGCAGCAAACAACATATTGCGCGCACAAATTGCTCTAATGCATATTGATTTGTTCGTTATCAATGTATACGACGGAATTGGTCTGCATTAGAATATAATCGAAGTAATTTTATCGAATGTCCGTCGTTTCTCTCCTTCTCGTATTCACACGAATGTATTGCTACATGTGTAGCGAATTGATTTAATTGAATGTTTTTTGATTCGAGTAGCTCACGATCATCGGCTAATGCATGATCTTTGAGAAATGCATTTTTATGGTGCGGCAAATCAGAGGAAAAAATCAACATCACGAAATAATTGACTTTGAATATTTATTCCGTATGTAATGTGATTTTCGCATCACACAATGCATACATGATGATGAATCGATCGATTTAAGTGCACATTCCGTCACAGTCGGGTGTTGAAAAATTGAAATCTATATCTGAATCAACCATAAACAGAGCTATCTTTTTTTTTGCTAAACTGCTTGAATCGAATCGTAAATCGAGTGTATATAATTTTATTCGTTTTTTTTTATACGGTGAATCATTAAACGAACGTAATGAAGGATGTAATTAACGTGTTCAAGTAAGAATAAAAGAAATATCATGCAAACAGCATCACAAGCCAATAGGGTAATAATGTAACGGAAAGCGAAAATACATTTGTTTATTCGAACCAAATTTTGCTTCGAGGAAGAAAACAAACAAAACGGGTCCAACGTAGAGAGAGAAGCTGATAATTCTGGAATGTGTTCCTTATTCCCTTGGATGTTAATTACGCATTTGCGTTTATTTCTCTTTTCAATGGAATTCTAAAAATAAATCCATTTTAGCGGCAAATCGACGAAAATTCGATGAAAAGTCTGCATCCAAAAAAAAAATTCCAACGCAAAAAGTCGAGTGCCAACTAAATTTAAGTGTTTCACAGTTTACCGTTGTGTGTTTTTGTTTTTCAATGAACACCAACAAAATTTGAGTCGGCATTTGCAATATCCAAATGTTTTACTGATAAAATGATGCGAAACTGCAAGCCGTCGTTAGTTTTGAAATGTTAAAAATCAAAAACGTGACGTTCGTGTGCCAACAAAATCGAGATATACAACAACAACAACAGCAGCAGCCGTGGTATGTGTCGTGTACCAGCCTCTTTCTTATTTCGTTTCACTTCTGTTTTCGTTGATTTCTGCATAAAGTTTTGATATTCGCATCAAACATAGGCTGCTCTTCTTGCAGTATTTGAGAGTGTTAACAGACCGTCTCTCGACGGAAAAACAACACAACCATCGAATATTTATTTTCCAAACTAAGACACATTCAAATGCATACAAACAGACTCACTTTTTGTTCGATTATCCTTTATTTGAAAGGTTGTAGAATTCTTTTTTTTTATTGCTGGTCCAGTCTCTCTGATGAAGCACAAAAATTCAATTTTTCGGGTTTATTAAAATGCAACGACTCGTTTTGTATACACACAAAAAATGGCTTTTAAATCCAATACCCACACCATGCAATCAACCAATGTATGAACGATGGAACGAACTAAAAATGGTAGTGAATCAGTCGTGATGTAAATATATACTGATGTTGGCGGTAACAACAACGATCGATCTGACCTGTGCAAGACACAACACAACACACACGAACACCGATACAATAAACCACAGCCATGGCAGCAGCAACTCATACGCAGCGAACGAAAGCAAACAAAAAACCGAAAGAGATGCACAGTGAAACAACAACAACAATAACAGAAAAAAAACAACTGTTTGTGTACGATCCAAAGGCGACTGTGTATGTCAATAGTAGCAGCAGCAGCAGCAGCAGCAACAACAACAGCAGCAACAGAACAAAAAAAAATACAGCGCACATTTTTCCTTACTCGAAAGACCCGAAAACAATAGTTACTTACACTTCTTTAAAATAATAAGACGATGTGATAATGGAAACAGTAAATCGTTCGTCGTTGAACACAATGCATAGTACAACCCGAAAAAAATTGGGAGCTCCGTGTATGGTTTGATGAATTTGGTTTATTCAAAGTGCTCATGTGTATGTGTTTTTTATTTATTTTCAGCATTCAATCCACACATGAAGTGAATGAATACGATAGTTGTTTCCTAATAATTCAGTCTTGTGTACACAGAAGTAAACAAATTACTTTGGGACCAATTGATAATGGTCGACTGGCAATTAGGCGCTCCAAAATGATTAGTTTAATTTGACGTTAAAAGGTCATTCGGTCTTATCGGCGCAATTTGGAAAGAGAAAGAGAATCATGGCATTCACAGACTTGATGCGGCAGGGCCATAAAATATCAAATATTTCAAATTCGAAAGACAACACAGATTGTTTTTCGTTGGTTCATGCGCGCGAGCGCCCGTTCGTTCAAAGCGTCGTCGCCCGAACATAATAAAATCTTACAACCTTGCGGTTTGAATGCACACCAAAAACAACTATGCCCACCACTTACCAAACACACCGTCTCTATCGCATTTTAGCTGCTTTGCCGATTAATTTCTGCACGAAATGTACACATACAACACGCATTCGCCACACCATGGCCTATTCGATTTATTATGTATTTCGTTCGTATGTCTTTCTCTTCGTTGTAACACACATCTATATGTATGCAAAACATGACCAATTCCACTCGCGTAACCATAATTTTTGTGTACACCGACCAAAACTAACCCACAACATCAGCTACCTGTGTAACTCACTTATGGTGTGCATGTTTGTGCAATATTAAATGGGTAAGTGGGTTCGTTTGCCTTAGCACTGTTCCTTGGCGACACTCTCAAACTTTTTTGTCGCTCGCCCTTTTTTTTATGCTGTCGGTCGGTCGGTCGGTTCAATGTAACCATACAGAAAGTGCATTTGCTTTCGCTTTTAATTCCAATTCTTTGGACATGAAGAATATTTACGTAGTAGAAGCTATCAATGTGGTGTATTGACTCCATTGTTTTAGCATTCATTCCAGGTTCATGTGGATGATTTGTGTCATTTTTTGTGATTAATTATATTCACTTATTAAAGTAAATTGATTATGATTAATGAGCAAAATTAATTTACATGACTGTTTGGCTGTGTATTCAAACGAGAAAAAAAACGAACCATGACCAATATTCCGCTTTGAGTTGAATTCACTTCGAAAAATTTCACTTGCCTCCAACTAGATGGCGCTGTGATACGCTGTGCGAATTCGAACCAATGACAATTTACGAACGATATGACGTACAAAGTGTCAGGGTAATTAGTGTGCTGTCATCATTTTCAGTCAATTTTTCTGCAAACAAATAAATCCATCGGCTTCGAGAAAAGTTCGTCAAACATTTATTCCACTCACCATTTGTTCGATAAAAAAAGCAATTATTTCAGAGATAAACAAGAATTGGAGTATATTTCTTTTGGGTGAACAGGTCGAATAAATAAATAAGTTTGGGTTTAAAGATCTATAACCAAAAAATCAGTAATCAGATAAAGACCACGTAAGAGCTTTGCTGGGGGCTTATTATTGGCCACAGAGAATTTCACAATGACAGACGTGTCTGTTTGGTACAAAAATCTGCCAATATTCACGAAATATTGGCTATCGCTGACAGTGGGAATCAGTTTATTGGCACGATTTGGACTGTTGGCCGGAGAATGGTTGTATTTAGCACCGTATTTTATTTATTACAAATTCCAACTATGGCGATTGGTAACTTGGTAAGCACCGAACACTATGAACTTCCTATAAACAAAAACATTTAATAAATTGTATGCAATGCTGAAGTATTGCTATTGAAATGGCTTTTGACCTCTGAACTTGCTTATTTTTCGTTTGTTTTCAGCATATTCTACTACCCGCTAACACCAAATACAGGATTCCACTTCATGCTAAACTGCTATTTCCTGTATAATTACTCGCTTCGATTGGAAACAGACCACTTCAAATCCAGTCCGGGAGACTATTTCTTCCTGTTGTTGTTCAACTGGGCTTGTTGCACAGTCATTGGGTTGCTGTTTAATTTGCCTGTGAGTTGCACGACGATTTTTTTCTGCTAATTTTCATCAAATTAAGTTCCACATTCCGCACAGTACATCAAATTATTTGGTTTCAAATGAAATGTGCATAATTCCGTATTCTTTTCAGCTCTTGATGGATCCATTGATCTTGTCCGTGTTGTACATTTGGTGTCAGCTCAACAAAAATGTTATAGTGAACTTTTGGTTTGGCACACGATTCAAGGCAATGTACTTGCCATGGGTTTTGTTGGGATTCAATTTGATTTTGTCGAGTGGCAGCATGTACTCACTGGTTGGCATTTTGGTGGGTCATCTGTACTTCTTCTTGAAAATCAAGTATCCACAGGAATTGGGAGGCCCATCATACTTGAATACACCGGCATTTATGTGAGTAATGACAATGAAATCGTGGAATTTGTTTATTAATACACCATTCTGATCAAATTGATTATTTCGATCATCTAATAAGCACTTTGAATAACTTGAAATATTTTCGATTGCAGTAAATCGTATTTCCCTGACGTTCGCGGTGGTGTACATGGTTTTGGATTTGCTCCACAAAATCAACGAACTGATCAACCAGCCGGCGGTGGCGGTGGCGGCAACAACCAAAACCGATTCTTTGGCGGTAACAATTGGGGAAGAGGTCAACGTCTTGGCAGAGATTAAACCAAATTCTTATCATGAAATTCTTCAGTTTCCCATGAACAAACAAAAAAAAAACGAGTGGAAAACTTTTCCAATTTATTGTCGTTAACAATGTCGTATTTAATTTTAACGTACTACTAATTGCCACGTGCACCTATTTTGTAATTTGCTGGACGTATATAATTGGGTTGTTCATTGATCTAAATGAACGTGATGATTTTTTCTTCGGGTTTATTCACAAAACAAATGTAGTTTCTTCAAGGAGGTTCATTCTCAACAACGGCTATGATAGATTTTCGGAAATATTTACAGCAATCAGGTTATACGAGACACAAAATGTTATATAATATAACACTGGTGACTAATTCGATACGATTTAGTAGAATTGATAGATCAAACTTTTGAATACTTTCTATTTAAATGATAACATTTCATCTAAAGTGGTCGCTGTTGAGATGAAATAACCTGAAAAATATTCAATGGATACTAAATATGTATATTTTTTGCAAACAAGTGTGCGCCATGTAATGTGAACGACCAAGAAATAAAATGAAATCTGATAACAACATCATGGTTAATGGGTATTGATCTAATTGAAATAACATTTTAATTTTTTTTTAGCATTTTCTACCATTTTTTTCTTTCATAGCGAGTGGCCAATTCTTGTCCTGCAGAGTGATGATTCAGATTTCGGATCAGGAGCAAATCTTCTTTTCAATCTGTTAGTTGCGTTGCTGTACATGCAACACACTCAGGCGCCAACTCAAACAAATGGAGATGTGTGCGTGTGTACATGTCTATGCCTGTTACTCACAGTGTGGGGCATGCAAAGAAAGGTCCTTGCCCGGATAGCAAATTCAACATGCTGGAAGTGATTTCTTCTTCAAATCCAGAAAATGTGTGTGTATCAATATTATTGGCTTGAATCAGGAACGCGATGAATCTTTGAAGTTGACATTTATTTGTTTATTGCACCTATAAATATGTCCCAATCATTTGATTAATACTTCAAATTTAACACACAAAATTGGAAAGTGCAATTTTCATATTGCGAATATTTTTGCGCCAACAAAATTGAGTTGCATTTGTCATCACATGAACCGCAGCAACGTCACGATGAATGGTCAGTTGTCAAATTACATCGGTTCAACTCACGCATTGTTGGTCAACGATTCGCACTAAAAATTGGAAATATTCGGTTATCACAACCAATTAACAATCTGGAAACCTGAACTGTATTCAATTTGAGGTGAATTATCATTGGATACGCCGAATTCAACAGGCTTGTTGCATTTTTATTGGTGTGTTGAGTGCGAATTAGACTTTGTTTGCAAATCGCAACAACAAAACCAATGCATGCAAATCATTTGCGACATCAAACGTCAAAACCAACTAAGTCCAAAACAAAACACCTGTTAAGCGCTGCAACACAATCAATCTGCGTCAATTAAAACTGAGTAAGTTGAACATTTATCGGTAAAAAGTAATTTGAAGTCATTCTTTAATATTTTGTGTTTTTCTCGTTGATTTTCAGAATAACATGAGCGACGAAAGAGGCGAAGTTCAAAGAAACACTCAAGCGGATATGGAAAGGTTAACGCTCGATCAGAGTCGAATTCAAAATGCCGTAGCCATCTCATCAAATGTTCAATTTTCATCGCCGATTCTCAAACTGGACGTGGACTGTTTTGAAGATTTGTTCGAGTGGTTGTCATTGGCCGACTTGCGGTCGCTTCGCCGAATGTGTAAACGCTTGAAACAAGTCGTTGACTACTTCATCAAAACGCACTATCCAGCGGTGAAAATGGGTTATGGACGAATTGAGCTTCACGAAGATAAGATCGACCAATTTCAACAGCTTCATCTGACCAGTGTCGAAATGATCAAAGAGGCCAAAATCTATTTCAATGAAATAACTGTGAAAGAAATCGATGTGTTCAAAGGCATTTTGCCTCAGGTGGAACGGCTTAAGATTAACACATGGCAATTGAGTGCCAATGAGGGTAATTTCTACGAGTCGATTCTCAAATGGTGTTCAAACTTGAAATATTTGTCAATCGATTTAATACACTATGCAATCATTGGCGAAGACAATGAGTGGTTAAAACAGCAGTGTCCGACAATTGAACACGTCGCAATGGATGACAATGATGTTGGTGGACCTGGTATGGCTGGCGTATTTCCGGATTTGAAGACATTCTTCGAATTGAACCCAAACATTCAGACATTTTCCACCACATTTCACCTTCTCCGAATAAATGGAAACGTTTTTTTGGGGTCTAACGTAAAAGTTGACCAGTTGAATGTTTATGGTGACTGTTTTCATGAGTATGGTATGAATGTCATCTGTGAACTACTCAATCAGCTACACGACCAAGGGTTTTACCAGCGATTGCATATGGAAGCTTCGTACATTACTCTCCAAGAAGAATTGGATCTTATCATATCGGTACGCGGAATGGAAAAACTGTATTTAGACTTTTGCTCGTCAGATAAACTCACTTTGGCACCAAAGCCAGAGATTAAAGAACTGGGCATCAGTTATGTTGGTGATTATATAGCCTTGGACGCCGTCGCAAAGAGTCTTATGAACGTCGAACGAGTTTGCATTGGTCAAGGTAAAGTTGAAGAAATTATACCATTCCTGCGCTATGCTCGGAAGGTGAAAGAAATTAAAGTTGGCCGTTTGGATGAAGGAGCTCATTTCGAGAATGGCGTCATCGACTTGCCAGCATTGAACAAGGAACGAAAAGGATTAGCTGGTGCCAGCAAAATTACGATTTATGTCCATGAAGACGTTTTCCTCGCAACAAAAATGGCGCTGATGAAGACGGACTTCAGTTTGGTCACCCTCAAACGAGCTGAAGCAGTCGAATGGATCCATCAACTTCGATACTAGTAGCATAGAAAGACAAAATTCCATTCCAATTGTATAAAAATCATGAAAATTCCTCTCTCACATACATTTTAGTATTGTTTTCTACATTTATGATTATATTGTCGATGCAAATTTATGAAAAAGCCATTCAAAGGAAATCTGTTTGTACTTTTGCCAATAATATAGCAAAATAAAATGAAATTTAATCTATAAACACTATTTTTCCCCGAATTATTGCAAATCACAGCAGAATAAAAGCACTTCATATGTCTGACTATTTGAATATCTCTGTCTCTTCTTGAATCATTCAAAAGAATTTTCACAATAACAAATCTTTCAGGCTCTTTGATTTTATTAGAAGAATAACATTGAAAATGGCAATTTTTGAATCACAAACATTTTTATGCCAACAGAAATGAATTGCATTTGTCATCACAAAAACTGCGACAACTCCATACTGAACGGTCAATTGTCAAATCACACCCTGAATGGGTGACACGCACTTTCAGTCATCAATCCACACAAAAAACTGAAAATATTCTACTGTGGTAGAACTATTCAACAATCTGGAACCCTGCACGGCATTCAGATTGAGGTAAATTATCATTGATTACGCCGAACTCGAAGATTCTGTTTTGACGGCTATTCGTTGGTGTGTTGAGTGTGAATTGGAATCTCAACAATATAACTATTTCATAAAGAATTCTTGCTGCATCAAATGTCAAATCAAACTTGCTTCAATATGATGCACAATATGATGTCATTGGCCGACTTGCGGTCGTTTTGCCAAACATGTAAACGCTTGAAACAAGTCGTTGACTATTTCATCAAAACGCACTATCCAGCGGTGAAAATGGGTTATGGAAGAATTGCGCTTGACAAAGAGAAAATCGTCCAGTTTCGACAACTTGATCCAACCAGTGTCGAAATGATTAAGCAGGCTAACATAAATTTCGACACGTTAACTGAAAAAGAAATCGATGTGTTCAAAGGCGTATTATATTATATTATATTCTAGGCCGTCGAACCAGCCGGGTGTTTACACTCCATTTGGGAGTGACACCACGGTCCATTTTGCCGATTTGCCCAGCCGTTTTCGAGATATTTCCATGTGTATATTTGACCATAGAAGCCAATGCAATAGCAGCGAAACGGAATGTGTTCTGTGCATGCCGTGAAGATGTGAACATTTTCATATTCAAATGGCCTCGTCAAAAAACACCACTCATCACTTCAAGAGTGAAGGATATTAGCTCAAAGAGCTGCGGACTCAAATACACTGTACTTCAGTACTATTGATTGGTAAATAATCATAGCGGCTCTATATTATTGCAAAAAACACAAATGGTATAAAGCCTTCACACGTTAAAAAAATGTGTGCGATAACATTCTGTTTTTATTGGAGTCGTCATTCGTCGTTGTGCGTGGGATATTTTGTGTAAATTATACCGCTAGGGAAATTTATCTCTGGCGAATGCTGCGAATGCATTCGCATTTCAGAGCAAAAATTCGAATGTTTGCGAATGCGACCGAATGCGGCTATGAAAGCGAACTCGTGACTATATCATTCATTCGTTCATTCCCTCATTCGTGTTCAGGCATGCATTCGCAACGCTGCCGTATTATTTCTATGTGAACATTCGCACTCGAATTTGAATTCGTTAGCAGTCGCATTTCACTGTTCTTGAATATTCTCGCGAATGCGAGTACGAATGTTTATATAGAAATCATACGGCAGCGTTGCGAATACATGCCAAACCGACATAACAGCCCCTAGTTATACTGTTGCTTACTGCAAAGAAAGGTCGTTGCCCGGATAGCAAATTCAATATGCTGGAAGTGATTTCTTCTTGAAATCCAGAAAATGTGTGTGTATGAATATTATTGGCTTGAATCAGGAAAGCGATGAATCTTTTAAGTTGACACTATTGAAATCAAGGTCATTTTAATCATTTTTAAAACAACTAATGCAATAGCAAACCAGTTTGTTACAATGCAACAATGTTGCAAGCATTACAAATTCCATGCTCACGCATATCAATGTGTTATGAATAATAAGCATTGATTTATTCGTTCTTTCTTGTATTGATACTGATGTGTTTACATAAACAGCTAATAACATTTTATTTAATTCGAGCAATTTTTTCTACTTAGAAATTGTTTACGTTTTTCATGAAAGTGTTATTGCATACACTATGTCATCACACTGAAAAAATTGAAAAAAAAAAAAATAAAATGGATTTTCATGTTGGTTGTTCAATAGAATATTTTTTGGTGTAACGTTTCTCGAACGTTTTGTTTAAAAAATAAATAACGGCACTGATAAATAGATATCATTGGTATTCTTGGAAGAGTTGGTTGAGTTTGTGAGAAAGGCGATAGACTGGCAGGCCCATAACGGTGTAAAAATCACCGTTAATGCGTTCAACAAGTGTGGAGCCGATGTGCTGTATGCCATACGATCCTGCTTTGTCACTGTAAAAATCATTCATTGTTATTATTTATGCGTTGGCACACAAACAATTTCTGTAATAAACACTTACAGCGGTTCTCCAGTGTCGACATATGCCTTGATTTGCTCTGTGGTACAATTCCCAAATTGAACCTCTGTCATTTCAGTGAATGTGTGGATATGGTCGGCATATTTGATTGCAACACCTGTGTAAACGATGTTCGTCTTGCCGTTGAGCCTGTGGAAAGTTACATTTTCGTTAAATTATGAAATTCAATTTTTTTGGTTCATGTTAATCAAAGTTTCTATTTCGAAGCTTAAATGTTAAGCTTAGATTTATTAGCAAAAATTCCGATTGAAAAAAGAAAGCGACTTACTTTTGCAATGTTTCGATTGCGTCATCTTTGCTCGTCGGTTTTCCATACATGCGACCGTCCAATGTCACCATAGTGTCGGCTCCAATCACGATATCAACTTTTGGCTTACCGTCCGCTTCGGCTTTGGCATTCAATCGATTTGCCACTTCGAGTACCTTCTGCAATGCGGTTTCTTCGACAAATTCGGCAAAGCCGTTGAAATCTTTCAGATCAAGATTCTCGTCAAACGTCGACGCACATGATTCAACATTCAAACCCTATGAGTAGAACAAGACATTTTACCACATGTTATTCCACAAATCTAATTCTGAAAGAGTTTTCAATAGAGAGCCCATTCGAACAAATTGCCTACTTACAACTGTTTTCAGAAGTTCCTTCCGGCGTGGTGAGCTGCTTGCAAGCACAATTCGCTTGGAATTCAATTGCTTCAACACTGGCAACATTATTGTATTTAATGCGAAGTAACAGTCAACGATGACAAAGTTTTAATCGCAAGGTAGGTCACGTTATGTGTTTATCGTTGGAAGCGCAACAGCAAACTAAATGTGGTTAGCGCTGACCGATTCTCATTCGATGAAACGTCAAACAAGTGGTCATTGTGAATGGTGCGCACAAAACAAAACAAAAAACATTTGTCACTTTTGACATTTCAAATGAGAATTGACGGTTTGATCCGAACAATTTTGTTCAATGCTGTATGAAATTTAATGAACATCTAGAAAACAAATGAACACGTTTTATTGTTGAACATTGCATTTATGGTCTGTATATTTATTAGAACTTAATTCGACTCATATGAGATTTTGAGATTCTCACAAAAACATTCATTTAATCATCAATGCTTCGGAATTTGTTATTTAGCAAGTAAGTTGTAAGTTGAGAATTTGATTGATGGACTGATGTTGATGATTGTTTCGAGCTGCCATTAACGAGGCTTCGGTTCTGTTGAACAACGAGGCTACCGTTGGTCTGATGATCGGAGTAATCGTCATTCATTTGACTGTATTCTTCGGTCTTTTTCGGCAATTGCACCGAAAATATCTTGTAAATCGCATCATGGAGGCACATAAAATTGAAATCGACAATGGCTTGTCTCGAGAAATTGTACTCGCGCAAGATGCAGACAAGTGCCAGAAAACGATTGATTTCCCGTAAATACAGAATGATTCCATTGTTCAATTTGATTATGCTGCCACTTTGTTCATCGATGGACGCATTGTGATCGGCGCTGCAAGTATTATCATGAAATTTTCGGTTATAGTCTTATGTATTGTATTTAAATCATAATCCGAAAAGACAATTAATGAACAAATTAGAAAAAACTTCGTTCGCTTCACCTATAAATAGACGACAAGTCGATAACAACATCAATCATATCACAGCATAGTTCAAAGCTTTGCATATCAACCGGCGAACTATCAGTAGCTATGTAAATTTTAGACATCACATCAAAGAGAAACGCCTTTTCTACGCCAGAATTCTGCGGGGAAAAAAGATAATAAGAACTACGATATAAACAAAAAAAAGTGTGTAAATAAAACGTTTCCTCTTCAATCATGTACGAAATTCATTGTAAAACGAGTTTTCGTCTGTTGTGTGTGAGTCGGATGTTCGGCCTGTTGCGTTATCAGCGATACTTCCAGTGTTGGCTTTTGACCCGAACATTTCGTTGCTGATAAACAAAGGCCGAATGGGTGATTTCGATTGTGAAAGCGAAATGTAAACACTTACCACAATAAAAATATTCAGAAGATTTTCGATCTTCGGCAATTTTGGTATTAATTTTTGGAGGACCTTGGAAAAGGCCTCGAATATGGAGTAATCGTAAATAGATGTCAAATGGAAATTCAAGCAAATGCGTTCGAATCCAGCATCCGATAAATCATCGATGGCTCTCGAATGAATATCACGTTGTGTTTCCATTTTCAAATCATCATTTATCCCATCGACTTTATGGATAAACACCTCGAATTTGATGGATTTATTCACTTCGTATGCTTTGAGAACGGTTTTGTTTAGCTTGGCCAGGGCTTCGATGTAATCATCATGAGCGTCAATAACGAATACCAGTGCATCACATCGTCTGAAAATGATGTCCGAATCGAAGGCCGGATCGAAAAAATCAATCTGACCTGGGAAATCCCAGCACTGAAACGGCACAAAACTATTGTTGTCTATGTCGCTTTTCACAATTTTGTTCGTCGACTCCAGGAATAGTGTTTCGTTCGGTGACATTTTATGGAAAACCACTTTTTGTATCGAACTTTTGCCCGATCGTCTCAAGCCCATCAAAAGTATTCGTGGTCTTTCATCGTTCTCAATCGGCGGTGATCCAGCCCGATCGTTGTCTTCATACGACGAATAACTGTAATCCCTTGGAAACGAACTGCTTGCTATGTCCAGACGATACATTTCGTCAACACTTTGATACTGAACCAAAAATGAAAATAGAATCACAATCCATTTATTTTAGTCGTGTAGCCAATATAAAGCAAAAACATAATACCCACCATTTCGTTTGATTTCTTATTGTCGATTGGCACTTAAGAATAAACACAGCGAAAGAGAGTAGAAGAGATTGTCCGAAATCTCACTTTCTGATAATAGCTGGTACTAACAGCTGAGCTGAGCTGCTGCAATGCGTTTGTTTACTCAATGTCAAGATTTGCTAGTCTTACTCATGTCGATTGGTTTTCGCTGTATATGTAACCGACTGACTCACCACATACGACGTGTTGTGCGATTGTTGGTATAGTAACGAATGAATGCGATTGCAACTTGCATGTGTTTTGACAACAAAATGAACCCAGCTGATATAATGTGAGTCATTCACAATAACCGCACAACTCACTTGTCAACGTATCAGTTTGACAACAAGTATTTGGCGTTCGATTCAAACGAATTACTCATTTGTTTTTAAGAATTATTACTCATTTGTTTGGGTTTAATAGCTGTTTTGGAATTTTTAAGCAACAAGTTTGACTGGCTACATGCATTTTTGGGGATTTAGTCATTTGAAAATGAGCTAATTTTTATCGCGTTACCATTTTCAAGTTGATTTATCGTCTTTTCATAGAATGTATCACATTCACGTTCAAATGAAAGAGCAAGCTGCGCTCCAATGTAATGAATAGACTGCAGTCTATCTAATCATGATTATAATCAGTTTTTATTCCCATTAGAATAAAACAATGCTGAAAAAAGAAAGAACATTCTCGATCTACGCTACGCGTAGAGTCTTTTGGAACCTTTACTTCGGGTCTAGTTTGTTATTGCATAACAAACTATAACTGAGCCGTTACATGAAATGTACTACATCACAATGAATGGATGGATTAGATAGATAGCATACACAGTACAATAAAGTTGAGGTCACCAAAAAAGCAAAAATCAGCTAAACTTCTGTATTAAATTCAATGTTACTGAATGCTACCACAATAACCAATACTCTACATCGTACATCATAATGTATGAAAATGAAATTTTTCAAGTATCGTATTGGTAATAACGTTTTAATCTAAATTTGTAGTTAGTCACAGATAATAATTAAACATAACAACAGAATCTGTTTTGGAATAAAAAAAATCCAAAGTTTTGGACCTCCCTGGAAAAAAACGAAGTTAATGTACATTTTACAATGTACGTTCCATGTAACGGTAAAAAGGACCACACTGATCAAAGATATAAGCGAATGAAACACATCAATTTAAGAGATTTTCGTAAGTTTTATTATCATTCGGTTGTTGTTGTTGTTTTTTTGGCATTTACATAAAATTTAAACGTAATATGCACATTTAAAGAGGTTTTAAACTTATTTATTAAAACTATGATAATAATTTGTAACATAATTATTTGTTCATTTTTCTCCTTTTCTTCTTTATTTTCTGAGTTTTGCAGAGTTTAAGCTTGTTCAATCGTCATCATCGTCGGTTTTTCTTTCTTTCATTTGTATGTACAGTGTATTTAGTGTTGTTGTTGATTTGTTTGTTCTGTGACTCAACCGGTGAGGTTCATAGTCCATGAGTTTGCTTGTTCAAACAGATCTTAATCGTTCAGTTCATAAATATATGCGAGAGGAGATTGGTTGAGGTGACGGTGGTAATGGTGGTGGTGTTCAAGTGCAATTTTGTTGGCTTGAATAAATGTGTTCCCTTTTAAAGATTTTAGCACCTGATTTGTCGATAACCACACCACCTTCCCTCCCAAAAAAAAAGATCACTCCTCTCGTAAAATGGCAAAAAGTATTTTATAAATTATTATCAATATTTTTTTTTGTTGTGTTTGTTTATATAATATTATTTTGTTTATACATTAAGAATCAAAATTGCAATACAATTTAATACTTTGACGTTACTGAATTGATTTGATTTTGCAGTAACTCGTTCTCGTAAACTCCAAACATTGCCACTAAAAAAGCATTAGCGCTTTAACCACAACAAACTGCATTGAAAATGAGCCAAAATATTTGCATTTCAATAATTAAAAAAAACGAAGTCTTGTTGTGTGTGTTTGTGTGTAAAAATGGGGGAGAGAAAAATGAGGCAGGCAAAAAATTATGGAATATTGTGATGCATTTTTGTTTTCAACCTGAAATTCTTTTCTTTTTTTTTGAGTGTATCAACATAAAATGCATAGATCAGACGAAATTGGTTCGATAATTCGGTGAATTGTTTTCATTTTTGTTTCTTCCTCTTCAATGGGCTTAGTTTAAAAGGCAATTTCGGTTTAAAAAAAAGAAACAATTTGCCAAACAGGTGTTAAAACGAACAACTCAAGGAAAAAAGGGAGAAAAAGATTGGTCTCAACGAAAGCAATAAGTCTATACAAAATTAAATGCTCGGAAATTTTCCTAAATATTTGCCAGATGAGATTTGATTTTGATCGTGTTTTTTGTTTTGTTCCTTTCTTTTCTAAACCTTACTCTCAGCTTTTTCTTCATGTTTCTTTAAATCAATTCTTAATTTCACTTTTACTAATAACCGAATGCGTCGTTTATTATAAAAATATTATCCTAACTAATTCTTTTTTTATATTTCTGTTTTTACTTTTATCTGGTTTCAATTACATAGTACTTTTTTATTTTCAGACAATTTATCTCATCTATATCGAAATCTTTTTGTTTTTTTTTGGAAAATCTTGATCAAAAGTTTTTTTTTTGAGACATATAGCAATATACATATAATGTGTCCTACCATTTTTTAGATATACTCATTTCATTTCATTATTTGTCATTTCAATAAACTAAATTGTAGTTTCTCGTTTGTTCCATTTCAGAGCAAACAAAAAATTCTTCAAACTTCTACTATTACCTTTGCATTGCATTCGTTTTATACACAGAAAAAAAATGAGTTGATTGCGCAGTGGGCTTTTTACCATTTTAGTGACATTTTCAGTTCTGTATTCTAGTGGCCATAATAGCTTCCACGTTTCCGTTTTTCTTTCATCATCCTCTTCTTTTTGTTTCAATTATTTCACTAAATATATCGAGTCGCAAGTTTGATTAAATAAAGGCCTATTTGTAGTAGGGAAGAAAGAACATTATTCGATTGCACCGAGAAAATGTGTGGAATTGTTGTTGTTGCCGTCGTTTTAGAATTGGTGCCCATGGACTGTCATGGAATAAGTTCATTGGCTTTTGATTTTTAGAAATGAAAATGTCTTTCTCTCTTTTCGTTCGTGCTAACAAATGATATGACCACCCATGCACTTGGCAGTCACATATGTCCTTCCAAATAACCGGTCAACAAATTGACCAAACTTGATGGTCATTTTCTTCATACTAAATTGGAATCACAGAAAACTTAAATCGTCAAAATTAAAAATAGAACTTTTTCTTTTCTTTTTCTTTAGAGATTTCTATTCATAACTAATATACCTAATTTTCTTCTTCTTTTGTTATTAAATCATTCATTCGAGTCTGTAGAGTCTAGTCTATTTTGTGATGCAGTAGCGTTGAGGCAATTCAACGCAATTAAATGGTTGCGTCGCAAACATTTATGAGTCCATTCATTGATTAAAGTTTGCTGGTGGATCGGCGCCTGTTTGACAGATGAAAAGAAGAATCATTTAAAAAATTGTATGGTTTTGGTGTTGTTTAGAACAAATCCCGATTTTGCCGGCGTAGAATTAAGGAAAAATCATAATATGGTGTAAAAGCTAATAAAAATGATTTTTTTTATGAGTTTAGCAACAAAATTAATAAACCAAGCGTATAGCCAATCGATAATATGATTTTGACATGGTCTCGTATTTGTCTGGTTTTTGCTTTTTCAAGCCAAAACAAAAGCGAAAATGTAAAGTAAGCAATGAGGACAATACATGTACATTAAAAACAATTAAATGGAACCATGAGCTTATAAAGAACAGTAAACAAAAAAGAAAAACATTACAGAAAAAAAGATTTACGTTTTGTTTGTGTTTTTTGTGTCTGAGGTAACATAATTTTGGACGGGTATAAAATCAAGAAGTGGGCCAAACTGAAAACCAAAAAGTCTAAAATGGCTGCTACTTTTTTAGCATTTGGATTGGTGCGTTCTTATCTGTGGGGATTGGCTTGTACTGGACAGCTTTATATGAATTTTGTTGCTGACCTCTTCCATCATCATACCCATGATGGCCAGCTGAGGCTGAACGTGTACCATTCGATGGCCTACTTCCACCGCTCGATTGTTGATGCGGTGGCCGTCGCGGGTCAACTGCATTTCGACTCGGATGACCACCGCCGCCGCCGCCACCACCGCTTCGTAAACTATGCTGTGGAGCATGATGGCTTCGACTAGCATTTCTGCTTATGTGACCAAGGCTCTCGTCGCCAGAGCTTCGTGACGGTGGTATACTTCTTGGGCCGCCTGGATATCTATGATGACCATGCCGCTGTTTGGGGGAATAAACAAAATTTGAGGATGATTTTTCGATTTTGCGATTTCCTTCAATTTAGCAATTGTTTTTCAATTATCTAAAGAATCTTTTGATTTCAATTGTATAAGAATGTGATTTGAATTGTTTATCTTCAATTGCATACGAACCATTCTTCTCAGCGTGTGCATCGGTCGTCGTAATGTTTCGCTGAACCGTCTGGCCGGTGGTTTCTTTGGGTTTGAGCTCGGTGTGTGCACGGCACAACATTTGATGAAAATGCCCATGATAATGATGAAAATAATGCCAAACAGTACGCAAATGTACCAATAATCGGTGACCCATTGCTGAACGGTGTTCAGTGTGTGCTTGTTGAAGAGTAAATTTTTCAGCCGTGCAAGCGGTCCTTCGGCATCAATGGCACGACATTTAAGAAACACATCGCAATAGCCTTGGAAATTATCACAAGGTGATCCTGGCCGTAAACTGATTCCTTCCGCTGGAAGACCAACTTCGAGACCAAACTCACTCGTACTGCGACACGTCGCGGTGTCGTTTCCATTTTGACACGCCAATTCGCACAGTCTTCGCTTGTCGATGTTTTGTGTGGCTTGCGTCGTTAGGAAGCACTCAGTCATATTCCATAGCAAGCATATCGACCCGGCGCAATCACCGTGGATACACAATTGTGTGCCGTTATTGCATTTTGTTTTGTCGTCACGCGGCTTTGGTTCGGGACATTCTGGCGTTGTGCCATTGCACATTGAACTCCACGAGCATTCAGTCTCTTCTTTGCATTTTTGATGATAATGCGCCGGCACAAACATACACTTTTCACTTAAGCAACATGGTCCCTGGCTCGGGCTGCATTGTGTGTATGCGCGCCGTGTACACCCGCGAGCACTTGAATTC